TTGAGGACAATTTGGCAGCATCTAAATTTTTAAAGCATATACTTATTGGCTCAGCAATTCCATGTCTAGAAGTTTATCCTGCAGATATATTTGCTCAAGTATACAAAGATATGGGTATTCACTACAGCACTCTTATTCTGATAAGACTGGAAAGAACATAAATGTCTATTGATAGAGACTGGTTAAATGTATTATGGTATAGTCTTACAATGGAATACCAAACAGAGGCTAAAAAGGAGGTAGATCTCTATGTGCTGAAATTGAATAACCCACAAGCGATAGTTACCTGAAAAAAGCAGTGTGTACTATATGAAAAATATTTGTTTAAAAGAAGAAAAATGGCCGGCCCCGTGGCTTAGCGGTTAAGTGCGCGCGCTCCGCTGCTGGCGGCCGGGGTTCGGATCCCGGGTGGGAACCGACACACCGCTTCTCTGGCCACGCTGAGGCCGCGTCCCACATACAGCAACTAGAAGGATGTGCAGCTATGACATACAACTATCTACTGGGGCTTTGGGGGGAAAATAAATAAATAAATAAAATCTTAAAAAAAAATAAAATAAAATAAAAGAAGAAAAAAAAGACATTGTTTGGAGAAACACACAAGTCAACATGGTGTCTCTGGGAAGGGGAAATGGAGCAGGGGGGAGTGATCAGGGGAGGGAAGGAGACTTTTTACTCTACCTTTTTTTATAAGCTACAAACTTTTTATCTTAATTATACTAGCTGTTGTTCTTAACTTTTAAAAACAGATAATACATGCACATGAGACAAAACCCAAACATACGAAATGATAAACAGTAAAAAGTAAGTCTCTGCTAACAAAACAAACAGAAAAACCCACAATGATGGGGGTATGTCAAAGGGACCCAGGAGCCAACAGAAAACTGGAGAGTAGTAAATAAAGTAGTACTGGAATATAACCTAAAGTATAAAATAAATATCCACGGAGCCATCATAATATAAATAAATGTCAAATAAATAAATAAGTGGAGAAAAGACAAATTTCTCGTGCAGGAGAATTCCAAATAATTTACGTAGATACTCCACCCTCAAGGAGGTGGAGCATAATTTCCCAACCCCTTAGTATGGGCTGTGCATAGTGACTTCCTTCCAAAGTAGAGACTATGGATAGAAGGAGGAAAGAGTAATTTTGCAGTGGACTCTGACAAGCATTACCTCAGTCAGATGATTAAGGTCAACATCAACAACGATCAATTATCTTGAAGGTCTGTACTGTTGATATGTTGTGATGGAAATGGCACTTTACCTCTGCTTCTTCCTCAAACCCAGAACTCCAGTCTAATCCTAAGAAAAACAACATACAAATCCCAGCTAAGGGACATTTTATAGAATACATGACTAGTACTCCTCAAAACTGTCAAGACCATCAAAAACTGGAAAACTCACAGTCAAGAGAAGCCTAAGGAGACATGATGACTAAATGTAATGGGTATCCTTGTGGGATCCTGGAACAAACAAAGGACATTAGGTAAAAACTAGGGAAATCTGAATAAAGTATGGACTTAATAATAATATCAGTACTGATTCAACTAATTGTAACAAATGTGGGATGTTAATAGCTGTTAAGAGAGGAAACTGAGTGTGGGGCATATAGGAATTCTCTGTACTATCTTTGCAATTTTTCTGTAAATCAAACTGTTCTAAATAATAAGGTTTGTGTTTTTTAGCCTCCCCCCCAAATAAGTATGTCTGCTTTCTTCCCCTGACTCCATAAGTCATATAAATTCTCTGAACTTCAATTTATCCGTCTTCAGCTAGGGGAATTATTTCTAATCTTTCCAACTATCATCAATAACAACACTCTCATTTAGTGAATGTTTACTGCAAACTAAATTCTGTGCTAGGCAGCCTTTATATGCATTATCCCATATAACTGTCACAATGAACCTGTGGGCTGAGATTGTCATTTTCCTTGTTTGTCCACCATGAAAATAGGCTGCAACTAGACTAAAGTCACAGAGCTGGTCGGTGGAGGCCAAACTCAAAACTCTGGTCTGTCTAACGTCAAATGCTCTAAACCTGTGTTCTTCACTGGCTCAGGCTCCTCCTTCCTTCTTCTATGCCCATAGATAGATGCTGCCCACCTCAAAGCCTGTTTTGAAAGATATGCCTCCCCAACAAACTGCATGTAAGTAAGCATTCTCCTTAATCAAGCTCTAAGAATCTGCTTCTTAGAGTTCCTGATCAGAAAGGCATCACCAGTAATGACAGCAATCATTCTTTGAGCACTCACTCTGTACCAGGCACTGTTCTAAGAACTTTATGCTTATTGAATTAGTGAATTCATGCAGTAATGCTAGGAGAAACCATTAAAACTCCATCTTCATACATTGCTGGTAGGAATGTAAAATAGTGCAGCCACTTTGGAAACTAGTTTGGCAGTTCTCCAAGATGTTAAACATAGAGTTACTATATGACCCAGCAATTCCACTCCAAGGCATATACCTAAGAGAACAGAAAACATGTGTTCATACAAAAACTTATACATGGGTATTCACAGCAGCATTGTTCATAACAGTCGAAAGAAACAACCCAACATCCATCAACTGAAGAATGGATAAACACAATGTGGTATATCCATACAATGGAATATTATTTGGCAATAAAAAGGAATTAAGTACTGATACAACATGGATGAACCATGAAACCATAATCCTAAGTGAAAGAAGCTAGTCATAAAAGACTGAGTGAATTGCATGATATGTGAATTAATCTCCATAAAGCTGTTTTAAAAACCCTCCATTTTACAAATAAAGAAACTACAGCACAGAAATAAGCACATTGCTTAAGATTACATAGCTGCTCTGCTGAGCTCATTCAAAGCAAAGAAATGCATTTCCAAATAGCAGCCTCACCATCGTGAATGATCTTGGTTTTGTTTTGTTTGTTTTTTCCCCAATGTTGACTGTCTTTTCTGGACTACCCTTTTACCTCTGCCTGAGGAGCTGCCTGAGTTAGGATCAGAACATGCAGAGATGGATCAACGAAGCATAGTGGTTACGAGGACAGGCCGAAGGCGGCAGCCTTTGGGATTCTTTCCCTTCACCTTTTTTCTTCTCGAAGTATGTGTTTGTTGTTCCTCTCACAACAGCATGTAAGCTCCAAGAAAGCTGGGATTTTGTTTTGTTTGCCTCTGTATCCCCAGCCATTAGTTCAGCACCTGGCATGATGGATGAAGCAAACAGTGGTTGAACGAATAAAGGGCAGTTCAGACAGTCAGTTAAGTGAGGTGAGAGGAGGGTTTCTGACTTGGTTGCTGGTAACACTCACAGAGAGGGAAATGGGCCCAGGGGTGGTGGCGGTGGTACACAGCATCAGATCTAGGAGATGACTGTTTGGATTATCTGAGGTACTTGTGGGAGCAACCTAGGAGAGGTTGGATATACCTATCTAGGAAATACTTCACTCAGAGTTCCACACCCAAATGCTTACAGGGACCAGGGAAATATCCTGAATTGTGACAATGGCCAACAAGAGAGTGGAGGGGACAGTGACAATCTGGAGAGATCATGCCCCATCTCAAGAGACAGTCTTAGGGAAAGCAGGTACAGTGTCAACAGATTTTTGGATTTTTCAAGAGAAGCTGAAAATGACTGCCACGTGAAATCTTGTCTGCAAGCCAAGTTTCTCCTTCTGGTCAACGTATTTCTGACTTCTGTTGGAGCAATCTAGGCTTGAGTCTTCCCAAGAAGTCTTGGGTATGTGTGGTGGTAGCAGAGAATATTGGTATGTCTTTCCTAAGGTGATGAGTACACTTGGAACAAGTCAATCCTGGGTAGCTTGGATGGGAGCCAGCCTCTCTAGCTCAATTTAGTAGTCACTTGTTTTTTTGTGTGTGTGTGTGAGGAAGATCAGCCCTGAGCTCACATCCGATGCCAATCCTCCTCTTTTTGCCCAGGAAGATTGGCCCTGGGCTAACATCCGTGCCCATCTTCCCCTACTTTATATTGGACACCACCACAGCATGGCTTGATAAGTGGTGCATCAGTGCGCGCCTGGTATCTGAACCTGCAAACCCCAGGTTGCCGAAGTGGAGCGCGTGCACTTAACTGCTGCGCCACCAGGCCAGCCCCACTTAACTGCCGCGCCACCAGGCCGGCCCCAGTAGTCACTTGTTTTTTAATGATTACATCAAAGAATAATGTTAAGTGTAAAAAGGTAGTTACAAAATAGTACATTTTACAGGATCCATTATACCCACGACAATTAACAGTGGTTATCTTGGGGGGTGTGTGTCATGAGGCACTTTCCCTTTGTACTATGTATTTCTGTGCATTTGAATTGTTCTATTTTTTTTTTGTGAGGAAGATCAGCCCTGAGCTAACATCCATACCAATCCTCCTCTTTTTGCTGAGGAAGACTGGCCCTGAGCTAACATCTGTGCCCATCTTCCTCCACTTTATGTGGGACGCCACCACAACATGGCCTGACGAGCGGTGCATCGGTGCGCGCCTGGGATCTGAACCCAGGCCCCCAGCAGCAGAACATGTGCACTTAACCACTACGCCACGGGGGCAGCCCCTGAATTGTTTTCTAATGAGCATGTATAAAGGAAAAACCAATACAAATTTTTTAAAAACTATAGATCTTTTCTAACATGCGTGTACATATACATGCAGGCAAACACTTAGAAAGGAGCCTGAAGAACATATACCAAATGATGGACAGTGATTACCTCGGGAAGGGTGGGGGGCTTGGGTGGGTTGGCAGGCGAAGGGGAAATTCAGTTTTGCTCACTGTCTTCCTATATTGTTTGAATCTTATATAACATGTACTCCTGGGTTGTAGAAAAAAATGAAAAACTTCAGCGCTCAACACTCCAATCCACCCACCTAGGTGTAGAACAACTCTCCCAGGTGGGAGGGAGGGAAAATCTTCATCAGGACATGGACAGTACTGTCCTTATCCCTCCCTGACCCCAAAACCCAGCCCAATCCCCCCCAGGAGACCCACACACACTGAAAGAGGAGCCAAGGGGCCTCATTGTAACACTCATTTTTATATAAATATCCGCAAGTCATGTTACAGAATAAGTCCCACTGGGGAAAAAAGTCAACGTTATGTTTTTGTTAAACTGACCCCTGCCTTCTAGGTTGGGCCCCAGCCTGGGGGCGCCTGCTGCTTTGGGAAGGCTGGGGTTGCTGCCGAGAGGCTGCTGAAGAAGCTGCCTGTGTGGCCCACCCCTGGGCCGACCCCCTTCTTTGGTGTGTGGTACATGGTGACCTTCTCTGGCCCCTCCTTAGCCTGGGGCAGGGTTCTGGGGAACAGGGTTCTGGAGAGCAGGGCCCAGGAGTCCTGGGGGCACTTGGAAACAGTTGGGGGGACTGAGCCACTAAGAGTTGGAGTCTGAAGCTTAGAGGTTGAGCCTTTTGGGGATGGGGGCACACAGAGGTAACAGGAACAAGTAAGGGGACCCTGGGCTGTCAGCCAAGCAGGGAGCATTTGCCCTTCTTTCCAGCCTAGTACCCAGGTCCCTTCCTCTGTTGGTCTGCCTCCTGCTGGACTCCATATTCCCAGGGATAGCCCTGGGTTCCTGCCTGTCCCCTTCTAGCTCTTACCCCTGCAATTCCCCCTCCCCCCACAGAGAGGCCAGAGGCTAGGAACACAGCACCAGTCTGAGGATTTAATTAACCAGGAAGGGGGATTATTGGGAGGGACACCCCTGTAAAAATGTACAAAAGGTCTGAGGGCTACGTGGAAGGGGAGATAAATATGTACATGGAACCCCCCTTCCTTTAGCCCCTCCTCCTCCAGCCCTGAGAGGGCATGAGGACTTGGGTGGTAGGTGAAGGGGAGGGGGGCACTTTGGCCTCTGGCTTAGTGAGCCCTTGGGGAGGCAGGCCAAGGGCCTAGGGGCCCTCAGAGGGGGCGATGGTACACCTCAGAAGATCATGAGCTATGACCTCTGAAATAACCCCCACTCTCATGTACGTACACACACCCACACACACACCCACACACACGCACACCCCTCTCTCTAGAGGCTTGTGACCTCTGCCCTCCCAAGGACCCCAAAATCCATATGATGCTTGATCTCGGGGGGGTTGGGGCTTCTGCTCCCAGGTTCCATGACCTCAGAGGTGGCTAGTGAGGTCATGACCTTTGCCCTCCAGTCCTGGCTTGAAACCTCAGCTCTAGGACCTTGTCAAAAGGAAAGGGGGATGGAGCTTTGCCCCTGCCCCTCCCCTTCCCTCACCTATCAGCCCGGGCTGGGCCAGGGGCCCTAGGTGGGGAACTAGGCCGGGGGGCGGGCACAAGTGGAGGTGGTGCCCCCAAAAGGGCTCCTGGTGGGGTCTTGCTGAGAAGGTGAGGGGTTCCCGGGGCCGCAGTGGGTGGCGGCGGAGGAGCCAAGCGGCTGTAGAGGAGGGGATGGGCAGGCTCTAGACCATAGAGGCGGGCAGCAGCCACAGCCCCTGGTCCAGTCAGCTCCTCACCCGCCTCATAGAAGCGGGGTGGCCTAGCAAGGCGAGGGGGCCCTGCCAACCAGGTTGGCTCCAGGAAGCCAGCACAGCGCTCTGGAGGACTAGGGCCCAGAAAGGGGGGTGGCCGGGGCCTCTCAAACAGCAGGTGAAGACCCTGAGGCCCAGTGGTGGCAGCGGCAGCGGCGGCGGCGGCGGCGGCGGCGGCGGCGGCGGCAGCGGCGGCGGCGGCGGCCTCCTCCTTCCGCTCTTCCTTTACCCGCACCGACTCCTTGGCTGGCCTGGCCCCTTCTTCGCCAGCCCGGGCCTTGGGAGTAGCAGGAGAAACTCGGAGCTGGGGCCGTGAGAAGGGGAGGTCCCTGGGGGGCAGGTATGGGAAGAGAGAATGTAGGTACTCTGGAGTCAGACAGAGGCCAAGGGGTTAGGCAGAGATGCAGGGGGTGGGCGAGTGGGGGAAGCGTACCTGTCTTTCTCCTCCTTGGTGATAGAGGGCTCCCTCCGCTCCACAGGCCGCTCCTTGTCTGAGCCTGGCGTCCGGGCAGCCTCAGGGGGCCGGACCCAGGCAGGAAAGGCCAGAGGACTGCGGTGCAGGCGGCCCCATGGGTCTGGGGGGGAGGCGAAGGCTGGTGGAGCCCCTGGGCTTTCTTTCTGGGCAAAGACGGCGCCGGAGTCTAGACAGAGGGCAAAGAAGAGAATGACAAGAGCCAGGAGTGGGAGGCCCCACTCAGGCATGCTCCCAGCCCCCTGCCTAAGCACATTAGCCCACTGCCACCACCCATCACCCACCCACTCTACTCAGCACTCACTGAATGTGGGGCTGCCCAGGCCTCCAAAGGCCCCGTTGGAGAGGGCAGCCAAGGAGGCGAAACTTGTGGGACGCCCAAAGGGATCTGTGGGACAAAAAGGGGATGGTTAGAGCATTGGACAGCTAGCTCTGGGCAAGCACCAAGAACTGGCAGGGAAGAAGCAGATCAGCAAGAAGGCCCCGGAGCCCTTGGCCACTTGGTTTTCACAACCAGGTGCTGAGCACTTCCTTGGGCCAGGCAAGGCACTGAGCTTTGACGTGCATTGTGTTGTTTAATCTCCCAATAAGCCCCAGGAGGCAGACAGGATCACTGCCACTTCAAGATGATGAAACAGGCTCAGAGAAGTAAAGTGACTTGCCACGACACTCCAACCCAAGGCCTCTCTGACTGCAGAAGTCAAGCTCGTACCCCACTGGCCCACACCAGCCACCTGGACCAGCTCAACATCAAGCCACTTGCCTGAAGACCTCTGCTGGCTTCCTCCCACCTGACATGCAGGGCCCTTCCCAGCCTGACCCTAAAACTCATGCATGTGTCACATAGCCAGTCAGAACAACTAACCTATCCCGCTATGGGAACCTCACAATTTCCTCTTCCAGGAACACCTTTCCCTTTGCTGTCAGGCTCAATTTCTTCTCGTCCACCCAAACCTGGGATAAACCTCCCCAAGAAGCCTGCTGAGGCTTCCTGGCACCAGGAACCAGTGACAATACTCTCCCTTGGGACTGCACAGCCTTCCTCCACCCTCCTCTCCCAGGTGGCACACTACCCCCTACCACTGGCTATTTCAGAGACAGTGTCTGAGCAGGCAGAGACTAGCAATCACTCTGCCCTTCCCTATCCCATTTTACAGACGATGAGATCAAGGCTCAGATGGGGTAACTTGCCCAAGGTCACAAAGCAAGTGGAACCAGGTGTACTCCCCATTCTAGCTGCCTCTCAGATCTAATTTCCATCCCCAGCTTGAGAACTCCTGGAAACCAGGGACAAGGCCTGTGTTGCCCAACATGCCCTTGGCTCTTACCAATGTGGGTGCTGGGGCTCAGAAAGGGTCCGTGGGCCCCGGGAGCTGCCGTGAAAGGGTTGGCTGCAGCGTGGACGGCACCTGGGGCAGAGAGGTGGGAGATTCTGATGAGGCTGAGTGGGCGCAAGGTGGGCCTTGGGCTATAGACAGGGAACCTCAAGCCCCAAAAAGGCTGGCCAGACTCACCAGTCGCAGTGAAGAGGGAGGCGGCCGGGTGGGAGAGCTCCTGCCCAGGGGGCAGGGCCCCATAGGGCCCCGGAAGGCAGGGCAGGAGGTCGTTCCGAAAGTCAAGCTTGTGGGAGTCGCCCTGCGTTGGACAGGGAGAGGGGCAGTGAGTGAGGAGCCACGTGTGGGCCCGCTCTTGCTCTTCCAGCCCTAGTCCCCTTCCACGGGCTGCCTGGTGCCAAGATGGGGCTTGGGTGCCTAGCCTCGGCCTCTCTCAGAGCCTTCTCTGACCACCCCCCTAGTTAGCCAGAGAATCTAGTGCTGATCGTGGAATTGCTCAGTCATTGACTGGGGACAGGAGGGGATGTTCCTGGGCAAGATTCTGCCAAGCTCTGCAGAAGCCCAGAGCTCAGGCAGGCCCGCTCTCCCCAGCCCTCCAGCCCCAGTACCTTCATCTTTTCCTGGTGTCTCAGGATCATGTAAGCCACGCGCACGTGCATGGCACACCACTTCCCTGGTTTCTGCCGCCCCAGAAGGATGACCAAAGGGAAAGGGAAGGAAAGAACGTTCACTCATCACCCACTCCAGGCCTGGCTCTGGGCCCAGCCTTGCCACACAACATCCCCATTCACCATCCCACAACTGAGGGATGACTAGGTTCATTTCACAGCCTAGGAAACTGAGGCTCAGAGAGATAAACTGTCTTGCCCAAGGTCCCACGGCCAGTTACATCTGAACCCAGATCTGTGCTCGCAAGACTTTCGCTTTCTGCTGTTCCACGTCTGGCTGCCTCCAGGTCTTGGGCTTCTTGCTCATTCCCAACAAGTTTCCCCCTCAGCCAAGCACCCTGACACCAGCCCCCAGCCTCATGCAGCCTGAGGTCCTCACCAAACTCACCCTCAAAGGTGGCCGGAAATGGTCGGGGATCTGGGGATGGCAAAGCAGAGATTGGCGGCAATTCAGACCTGTTTACTGACCTAGGCACCTCATCTCCACAGTCCCCAATCCCCCCTAAACACCTCCCTGTGACCTTGTGTGGCTTCCTCAAAGCTTTCCTGCCTGTGTCAAGACTCTTCCCCATCTCTCCCACTCTGGGCATCTCTCCTCCAGCACCAAGTTTCTGAACTGGTGATCTAAGGAGGTGCCTTGCTTGGAAGGCTGGGAGTGGATTAGTGGGCAGGCAGGACAGGTTTCTCAACCAGAGAAATTTTCCTATTAACAGCTTTATATAATGAGGAGCTGCTTAAGATTTCTTTACAAAAAAGCCTTTACTAGCACTAAAAGAGGTTGGAAAACCTCTGGTCCATTCTATCCTTTAGGAAACACACTCTGTGCTTTTCATGATGTTCCCAGCGCCCTGGCTCTAAGGCTGCTCCCCATACCACTTCACAAAGGAGCAGCTTATCTTTTCATTGTTTTATGGACAGGACTTCCTGGTATGATGTCATTTGAAAAAAAAAAAGGTTCTGTGACTTAAAAAATTTGAAAACCCCTACAAAAACCACTGTCCTAGTAGTCTTATTTCTGGGGCAACTTCATGAAATTCCTATTTCTCATGGCTGGGAAATCCTGTCATTGACAGAAATTCCCTCTTGTCAGAGACACCCCTGATCATATACTAAAGAGAGAGATCAGTGGTTCTCTCTCACATCAACCCTGCTCTCCCTCAACAGATCTTCTAGCTCCCCCAGGACCTGCCTCGGCCCCCCTCACCTGTGTCCCCTTTTGGGGAAGCCCGCTCGGCACTGGCCCCAGTCGTGGTGGCAGCTCGGGGTTCGTGCTCTGGGAAAGGGGAGTGGAGGGATCAGTCAGGAAAGCTGGCACCAGGCATAAAAGGGGTCTAGAACCAAGCTGGGGCTGGGACAGAGAGGGAGCATGGCGTTGGAGAAACCTGGGTCCACGGGGGAGGGCAGAAGGATGGGCCTGGTTTTGGGGAAGGGGAAGAAGGTATGTGGATCTGGAGGTGTCTGGGTTTGTAAGGGGTGGGAGGCAGTAGTGGTGGTGTCTGGATTGGGAGCTCACCTTGGGCTGGAAGGCCCCCTGCAGGGAGCCAAAGGAGACAGCCGGCGGGAGGCCCGGAGGTAGGCCGGGCACTGCGGAAGGGAAGGCCGTGTACGGCTGTGGAGAGAAGGGGGCTAGTCCAAGCTGGGGGTGGAGGTGCAGCCCACGTCTGGTCTGCCCATCAGTCCTTTGGCCCCCACCCTAAACCCTCCCCAGGGAGCTCTCTCAGGCTCAAGGCTCTTGCTTTTGAAGCTGAAGACTGGACCGCAACAGTCGTCAATGGGCCACATGCCCACACCACACACACACGCACGTGCATACACACACACTCACATTATGCCGGAAAAGGCCTTCCATCTTTCCTGGATATTTCTCAAACTAGGGAAGAGAAGGGAAGAATAAGCTGCCAGCCAGGGATCCAGGGCTTTCCCCTGGAAGCCATACCCTCCCCCCAGGTCTCTGAGCCTCATCACCAGCCCAATGAGGAGCTCACCATGTGGGGGCCATGGGGTGGCAGCAGGCCCGGGGGATAAGGGGTGAAGTGCTGGTGGGTGTGCTGGTGGGTGTGCTGGTGCTGGTGGTTGTGCTGGTGGAACTGGAAGGCCAGGGGCCGGGCTGAGCCCCCTGCCCCCACCACCTCGGGGCCACCCTGGGCATTCAGGTAGCGAGAGTTCAGGTCCTGGCCGATCAGGTCCTGCTCTGTGGGAGGGGAGGGGGAGAAGGCTTTAACATCTGTTGCCACCATGTCAGCCTCCTTGGGCCCAGGTGACTGGCCTTCCCTTCTGGCCTTGAGCCACTCCCTCCTCAAGCCCTGCTGTCTGCTAAGGTCCAGATGCCCCAAAGCCAACTGGGCCCAAGCCCGGGGCCATGGCCCCCCACCCCCCGGCCAGGACCCCAAACTCACCAGAAAGGGCGTTAGCGGCTGAGGCCCCAGGGTGCCCTGGCACCTGCAGCAGGGGTGGGGGTGGGGGCAGAGTGGGGCCAGGGGAGAACAAGGAGGGGTGGTGGGGTGGTGGGGGGGGCCGCAGCCCAGGAGGGGGGAAGCTGTGGGTGGACAAAGGCAAGGGCAGTGAGGGCGTCGGGGGCCGGTGGGTGAGCTGCGCGGACGAGGAGGAGGCAGATGAGGAGGAAGAGGACGAAGAGGATGATGAGGGGGGAGGCTGAGCCACGGGAGGGGCCGGGGCCTTGGGGGGCGGCCGTGAAGAGCTGGGGAGAGAAGTGGGGAGATGAGTGAGGGGTTGGGAGGTGCCAGCTCTGACGGGAAGGGGTCAGAAGCCTGGGCAATACCTTGACCCTGGTTCTCCAACACGGAAGGTGGCAGAACCGGCCGCCAGGACCCCCACCCCCGCCCAGGGAACCCATCCTCAGACTGAGGTACCTCCCACACCCAACAATCCCCTTTCTCCCTCTCTAGGTCTCTTCCACACAGCTGCCTCTGACATATCTGGCCACATGACTTTCCCTTTTCTGATTCAACCACAGCACAAAACATATCATTCACTTTGACGCTTAATTATATCAGGCCACCTGGGTTCCCATCCTAAGACAGTGGAAGCAGCGCCACACTGGCCTGGCCCAAGAGTCAGGAGACCTGAATTCTAGGCCCATCTTGCCATTAACACCCTGGGTGACCTTGAGCAAGTCACTGCCCCTCTCTGAGCCTTAGTTTTCTCAATAATAAGAAAAAGAATGATAATGATGATGACAATAATAAGAGATAGCAGCAGTCATAATAATATCAATAATCTTACCCTTTAGCAAGCACTTATTGTAGGCCAAGTGCTGGCACCTGCTTTATATGCTAATCCAACTCTCCAACATTTCATACCACCTTCCCAATTGCTGCGCATCCATGTAACCACCTGTACCATTTACTCCTTTCTTTAACTTAACTCAGTTTCTTTCCTTTTTATTTAGCCTCACCCAACCAATAACATGTGAAATCAAGGGGTTGAGGTACTAGTCATATTTTTCTAAAGCACGTAAAAGCTGAGAAAGATTTACTCACGTAATGCCTGAAATTATCTCACGTATGGCTAACGGTGAGCAGACACACTTTGGGAAACACTGCATTAACTCATAATTAATCCTCACACCAGCTTTAGGATGAAGGTACTATTACCATTTCATTTTACAGAAAGAGGAAATTGAGGCTCAGAGAGGTTAAGTGGCTTGTTAAAAATCACACAGCCAGTAAGTGGCAGAGCAAGAATTTGAATCCAGGTCTGACTGACACCAAAGCCAGCACTCTTAATCATGTCAGCATTTCCCAAAGTATGTTCCGAAGAATACTATTCCTAGCAGCTGTGCCTTGCAAAAAGGTCTCCCCAGCATAAAAACTGGGAAAAGGCACAAACTGGATTCCCCTGCATGTGAATGTACAAAGAGTTCTGATAAGTCCTGCGGTAATTTCTTTAAATTTGTTTCACCCAGTGTCTCTCAAACTTTTCAGCCTCAGAATCCTTTTTCAGGTCACGTCCCACAGGTACCATCCCATGTCCCAGCCACAGAATGCAGGGGTTGGCGCCAAAATGACCAGACCCTTCCAGACCAGACCAAACCTCTGGATCACTCACCTGCCAGTGCTGAGGTCCAGGCTGCTGCCATAGGGAGAAGTGCGGAGGCCGAAGGGCGAGACCCGAAGCTGCAGCTGGGGCTGGGGTGGGGGTGGCAGACTGGGGGCGGCCGGCAGGGGAGCAGGGGGTGAGACAGGAGGCCGAGGGGCCGGTGGAGGCGGTGGTTCCTTCGGGGGGAAAGGCACTAGCAGCGGGTCGGGCCCTGGGGGCTGTTCCTGGCTCCGCTCCAGGCCCGACACTTTAGGGACTACGGAGAGTTTTGCTTCACAGTTCCCATTGAAGGCGCCGTGGGGGCCCGAGGCTGTGAGGGCAGAATGGCAGACTTCAGTTGAGGCCCATGCTCACCCAATTTCCCTTCCTTGTCTCCAGCCCCCACCCTTGAGACCAACCTTTGCTGGTTGAGACAGTAAAGGATGGGTCGAGGTCATCGTCGGAGACCTGGGGAAGAAGGGTAGGGACAGGTTCTGGTCAGGCCAGGCCCTCACCCAGGAAGGCCAACAGCCTCTGGAGCCTGCTAGGAACCGGCAGTGATATTAAGTCTATTCCATCAGCTTAGCTGAAAACCATCCAAGACTGAGGGCTATAGGGGGCCTACGCCTGGGGAAAAGGGTGGAGCAGCTGAGCCTGAGAATCTGATAGCCAGGAGGACTGACTTGAGACAGCACTGAAGTAGCAAAGCAGCAGGCAAACCACAGCAAAAACGTTAGATGTCACTAACTGCTGGCCCACACGCCTACCTGGCTTACAGATTTGTTCGGTCCACAAGTGTTAGCAACAAATTTTAAACTAATTGCTGATACTGAGAAATCCAGAGATTCCTCATACAAACTCAGGCTTGCAGGTTCTCTTGAGAAGAGGCCCCTATTCTCACATGGCAACAACCAGCTGAACTGGATAGTGGCTGCCCCCTTTAGATGAATAAGAACTCTCTAGTTCACCACAGTCCCTGTCCAGCCAACTTTTTAAACTAAAACAAGACACACATCAGGGAGTGCAAATTCAGTTAGTTATAAGGGAAGAACATCAACTGCCAGGTCACATTATTTCAAAACAAGCAAATCAGCCTACCAATAAACTGAAATACACCTTTATAGGATATGTTCTTACACTGACTACAATGGTTTAGTGTCCTCACTGCCACGACCCATGGTCTCTGTTCAGACTCTAATCTTTAACAGCAGACTAACGGCCACCAGGAAGGACCAGCTCGGTTCCATAGCCACCCTGGATTTCTGTGGAGAACCACTGGTATCTTCAAGGGCTTTGGAAAGGATGGCACACTAAGGCAGGGGCCACCCATTCTTTGGTCAATTGGCTCTAGTCACCAAAGAGAAGAAGTCATTTACCCTCTTAATCTCCATCTCCCTCCCCCAAATCTAATCCTGGCTCAACCTAACCCATGTTCCCCACTCAAGGGGAGGCTGTCTGCTGCCCATAGGAGACCCTTAAGCTACAGTTCATTTTACAAGCTGTAACGTTGCCCACCCAGTTCTAGCCCCACTCACCCTCTCGTCCAGATCACTTTCCGCATCACACTGGGGAGAAGGAAAGACAGAGGTGTCACAAAAGGGAAGAAGAGTAGGGCCCAAGGTCAAGAGGGGACTTTCAGAAAGGGAGTGAAAGGGGAGGGGCCAGTACAGGTGGAGAGCACTTACTATGTATCCAGCTTCCAGAGAATGACGGGAGGAGGCCTGAGAAAGACCAGAGTCCAGAGGTAAGGGTGGCTGACTGGCGAGGCCTTTGGATAAAGTCTAAATTGCCCGGCAAGGCACTCAAGGCTCCTCATGACCTACTCTCAATCTCCTTCTAGCTATTTTTCCCACTACTACCGCCCACCTGTTCCCAATGCTCTGCTCATTTTCCAAATATACCAGATTCTCACATCTCTCTGCTTTCGCCCAAAACAACTTTGCCCAGTTTCTCCTCTTAACAAACTTATGACTATCCTTCAAGGCCTGACTAAGACATCCTAGGGGGCTTTCCCTAACCACAACCCTCCTCCCATCCCCCAGGCAGAATGAGTGGCTTCCTCATGTGGGTTTCTGCAGCATCTCTCCCAGATCTCTGCCTTTTGTAGCTTCTCAGGTTTTGGTCTAGGTATCTGCTCATAGATTGTTTCTTTCCTGCTAGACTGCCACTGCCTCAAGGTGGACGGCAGAGACCACATCTAATTCATTTACGATTCAACTAACTCTCTTTGATATGTCTCTGAATTATCAACATATCTGAAGCAGACTATCAGCCAAAATCAGGCAAGTCTAACTGTGGACATGTCTTTGTCAGACCTGAAAGAAGGAGTGGGAGCTCAAATTTGCTCTGTCTTCCTCTTTGTCCTTAAAGACTGAGATCAGTTTTAATGATGGTTAGTGACACTTGATGGAAAACGCATAGATGTGAAGGCCATTTTGGCCAGAGTTTTAAAGGACAGAGACCTGGAACAAGCTCACCTCTTTCCTTCTCCGCTTGTTGGGCCACTTTCGGGCCCGATCCCCAGAAGGCCGGCCAGGTTCTCGATCAGAGCTATCCCCTGGCTCCCCAGTAGCCCCACTGGAGCCCCCCCTTTTCCGCTTCCCAGAATGCTTCAGCCGATGTTCCAGTCGCTCTGGGGGCTGAAGAGATGCATCCTTCTGTGGAGGAGGAGGTGCGACTAAAGTAGATGAAGAAAGGAAAGCTCCCGATCTCTCTAGAGGTGACCAGGCTACCAAAGTGACTCTCAGGCCCGGTAACCTGGTTGGTCCCTGGAGACTAGCTCTACCTCCTCCCACCCCAGGGTGGGGCAGAGGCCTGGCCAGAGGAGCCGGTTGCTCTGGTTTGGGGTGCCAGCATTCCCCCCTCAACTCCACCCACTCCAGGCACCCCGTACCCTCTCACTGCCCCTCTGAAGCCCCCAAAGGTCCCCAGCCCAATCAGGCCCCACCTGCAAGGCCTCGAGGCTGGCAAAGCTTGCGATGGCGAAGCCATCGATCAAGTCCTCCTCCTCTTCTTCCTCCTCCTCAGGCTCCTCCTCGGCCTCTCCGTCGTCTGCGCCCCCCTCCTCTTCCTCCTCCTCTTCCTCCCCGCGGCTGCCCGAGCCGGCAGGCCGCTTCCGAGCTCGGGGTCGCGGGGGCCGAGGCCTGGGACGCGGCCGCCGCCGTCTCGGGCCTCCGGGCCGCTCTCCTGACGAAGCTGAAGACCAGGGCCTGGCGGGCGGCGGCGGCGACGACGAAGACGAAGAGCCGCGCGGGGCGGCCAACAAGGCCCGGGGCGCGTCGCCGCCCGGACCTCGGCGGCGCCGCTGCTCCCGGTCTCGGTCT